TGTTTATGCTGTTGAGTACCTTTTGAAAAAAGAAAAAGCCAAAACAGCCTTGATTAGTCAAGGAGTAATTGGATGACTTGATTTTAGCAAGAGAATGAATTGGTTGATGATAGCCTGTAACTAAGTGTAGTGGTTCTGTTCAGATGAATACATAACATACAGTCATCAGATCTTGACAGGTATAACATAAGCAATGCAAAAATCTCTGGAGGCTGAGAGGTAAATTTTGTCAAAGAATTTTGAAGCTGATTCTTGGAAGAAATGGAAAGAAATGTGCCTGCCATTAGATGATACCTTTATGAATGTGGCATTTGCTACTGCCGTGCTGTATACATATTTGTCTGCTGTTACTTTTGCATGTGAGGGAGGGAAGATACAGTCTGTGTGTCCTGGCTGTCATCAAGACCTGACAGAGACAGTTCCTGCTCTTCCTCCGCGAAAAAACAGAGTCAGGCTTTACATCTTCTTCAGCCAGGCATCCCGTTTTCTGGATCTTTTTTGTCTAGTCTTACTTGAAAGCAAAGCTCAGACCCAGCTGTCTCTGCGTTATTTCTTCAATGCTGCTTTTAAAATACTTTTCCCTCAAACTGCTTCCCTCCACCCTGGGCCCACCACACTTAAACTCAAAACAGCCCAGATAAAGTGCTCAGGCAAAGATAAATCCTTCCCTGAAACTGAAGAATCCTTTAAGTTTGTGCCTGCTGGCAGCAGAGGAGGGAGCTGGATGTGGCAGCGATCATTTCCAAGCTCCTCATTTCTAGAAACTTCAGGTTAAGTCATTATTGTGGTGTTCTTAGATGGTAAATTAATTCTGCTGCTGTGTTATGCTTTACTATTTTCCTATCTAAATGCTTGCTTTATTTTGATAGCAGTATCTGCATGCCACAAAAACATTATGGGAATTTATCACAGCAGATTTGTTTACTTACAGCAAGATTGGTGTTTCTAACTCTGTGGTCTCTGTTCTTTTACACCAGGGGAAGTGGCAGGGGTGTCTCAGGCTAGACTGCAAATCCATCAGCATTTCCTGGGAGATTATATGAAAAAAGACTTGGCTCATTGCTGGGATACCTAAAATATAAAAGAGAGAGGTGGATTCCATTCAACTCCCTTTTGAAAGGTTGACTAACATCTGATAAAAATACACTTTACCCCTGGTGAGGTACGCGAGACACCAGAGAAGCCATAATCAGTTCGTGAAATAATGAAGTTACTGATTAGGGTTTCCCAGTTGACCTTCCTGTATTGCTGCATGCTTAGCCTAGTTTTTGACAAACAGATGATGCTTTGGGGAGATTCTTAAGTAAGTCTATTTTATGTATATATTTTTCTCTCCCTGTATGGTAAGTTGATTCCTTTTTTAAGGCAGTTTTGGAGCACACACAGTACAATCTCAGGAAGTAGATGGAAGGAAGGTGCTGTGTTTGGGATAATGTTTGAGAAATGCTGATTCCTTCTGTTTAAGAAGCAAATGCAGTTGATGAAGACATGGGAAATCCAAAAGATTTTCATTGTATTCATTATAGAAGGTCATTGTCCATAGTTCATGCTGTCCTGAGAAGGCAGTGATATGGCTAATTTTGGAGAAGCTAATATTAAATATAGTTTTTAATTAGTTGTTTTTTCTGTAAATAATAAGTAAATAAATAAAATTACAGTTAGATCAGGTTATTGTTTGATGGAATTCCAGAATAGCACAACATCTTTTTTTAAGACAAATGTTCTAGCACAAGTTTGATAAAATGGGTTTTTTGATGAAAACTTTGGAAGCTAGACCACAGAACTCAGCAGCCGGTAGCCTGGCAGGTGTGAGTATGCCATAGAGGATAGTGTGTAAACAAGTTTCTAACCGTGGGAAGGTCCCTCATATTTACAGAAGTTGAACCCTCACTATGTCAATAAGACAGACACGTTGTGTTTGAGGTTCACCATTTTTAAACACAGCTCATAATCAGAATGGGTTTTACCTCTGGCAGGTGAATGTGCTCCCTCTGTTCTGCAACTATCCAATTCCTTTTCTTCCTCACCTGGATGCTCCATCAGTATGATTTCAGGCTATCTTTCCTCCCTCATTTTCCTACCAAGTTCTCTTGAGCTAGTAATCAGCTTGAGAACAAAATAAGACTACCAGATCTCCTTTTCTCCTTCTCCCCCTTATTTGCACTCACTCATTCTGTTGTAAACAGTCATCAGCCAAGCCACTGTCAGCATTTCTTTATCAATGTTTATTTTTCATTTGCCTTTTTTAGAGTGCTACATATCCATAAACTAACTGATATTCTTTTTCTGCGTGATACCCAAGATAATGTAACTTGTTCCTTCAGAAAACTGAAATTCCCAGCTGTCTGCGGTCATCTTGCATCTCAAGACCTGCCTCCCATCCTCCCCGCTTCTTCCACTTCAGCCTGTTTTAGTGGGTCTTTTTATTTTCAGCAGCTTGCTTGTCTACATAGTGCTCGATATCAACTAGAGACACATATTAATAAATAGCAGTAAACTGTTAACAATCTATATCACAAAGACTGGTAGATTAATATTGTGGTTGTTACTTTCATCTTTGTAAATTGCACATTCTATACATGTTTTCTGGTATGTCCTATTTCTTGAATCAGTTTTACAACTCCATTTTTTCCAACTACTTTACATTTTTATATAGGCTGGTTTTGAAACCAGCGACTGGGTAAAAACACTGCTGTAATAGTTTAACTTTGTTAATTTCTCACAGTTGTACTTTTTCCAAGAGATCTCATCTCTCGCACAGACCCTAATTCCTAAGGCTGCAACCAGTCCTTGCTCACTAAGTCCACCTTCAGCTCTGTGTACCTGAGCTGAGTTCCCTGCAGTGTGGTTTGTGCCATCATTGCAAAGGAGACTTGAGGCCGGCATAATGGATTGCCCAAGATCCTTCCCACTTGGCTAGCATATTGAGATGACGTTATCACTAAGGCTCTTCCATCGCAGCAGTGTCTCTCTCCCTTTCCTTCTTCCTTGAGCATCCCATCATCTCACTTCTGGCTGGGCTGTCAGTCAGAGGCTGATCTGTTTTAGGTTGATGGCTGAAGGCAGCACTGACAAACCCCGAACAAGAGATTCACAACTAAAGCTCAATGCCTGTGGCCTATTAAAAAGAGATTCTCAGTTTGTGCCAAAAGATGGACATTAATGCCAGTTTGCCCTTTTTGTGTATAGAAGTCTTATACCTGCCACTTTCTTATGGACTGGGACTGTTTCAGTGGGAAGAAGTTTTGTAGTATTTGTGCATCTGAAGAGCCCATGTCTCATTGGGGCAGGAGTGCAGAAACAGATCTGTGGAAGGCAAAGGCTACAGTGTCTCTTGGATCTGCCTGGCACTGGTGTGGGTTAGTGTGCTGCGTTTCCATTTGACAGAGCAGCCTGTGCCGCTGTCACGGCCAGCAGCAGAGTTGGATCTATTGCTGTGCTCGTTTCCCTTATGCCAGAGGAGCTCACGGGTGATCTTCAGGGCGAGGCAGCTCATGGGAGAGGAGGGAGCTTCTGTTAGCCACTCTTCGTAAGACGTTTCCTAAGTTTATGTGAAAAGGATGTTGACATTGGATGGTCAACAATAGTGTAAATCTGTGTACAGTGTGTTTTGCTGTTAAATCTTTATGGTCAAGCCCACTGTTTTCAGTAAGTGAAAGACAAGATGAAGTTTAAGATGTGTGTGACAACAAAGAACCCCAACCTTCTGTCTGTCAATTAAGGAATTGTTTGTAGTTTGTCTTGTTTCCTATCTTAAATTTAGTACAAGAAATGCCTTGGGGCGTTTTACTTTGTGGGGGAAAAAACCCACCCTAGTTGATTTTAATTTTGGTAACATTAAAATTATATTTGTGTTTGACTTCTTAGACATGTCTTTAATATTATGGGGTAGGCATGCAAATATGCTGAAAATTAATCTAGGAATAATAAACTGTTTTTAATTGTTAATACTTATATGTAAAATTGTTTTTATTTTTTTTTGAGGGAGTGGGTTTTTTTGGTGATGTTGCTTATCTGATAATTTAAATCCTTAGTTGAATTATGTTGCCAGATTGTCTTCAGAAGGGCATGAAGTCAGCACACATGCTTCAGTAATATCTGGGTGTTTTACCCTTATGTTTCCAGTTGGCAATTTGAAATTATGGCTTCAACTGCACTTTAAATATGTGATAATAGCATGTGTTTCTAATAAGGGCCAGCACCATTTTGTTCAGATAGTGTGAATGGTTGTCACTCATATATGACAAATGCACCTTCATCTGCTTCTTTGATGGCCCCCTAAAAACCATACCCTCAAATCAGGGCGATGAAATTAGCTGCTGTGTAAATTGTGTGTCTGAGTGGTTCATTATCTAATCACCGTCAGAACCACAGTGATAAAGTAGATTGAAACAGGGACGAGGTCTGCCAGATGATTTCAGGCCTTTTTTTCTAAGCCCTGTTTCCCTTGGAAACACTGAGTCGTTCAGAACTTCAGAATTCTTTGTCTAAAACTTCTTTTTTTTTTTTTCCTTAATGCATAAAATTGGTCAGCCACTGAGGGCTGCCAGGGTGATTTGTAAGGTTTTCTTTCCATGAGTCTTTTAGTCATTACTGTGTATATTAAAATGTTCTGCTATGTTCAGTTTAGCTACTATGTTTGCTACTGCTAGGGTAGATACTGTTAAATACAGTAGTACCTATTTTCAGGAAAGGTCTCTAGCCTGTTCCTATTTAAAAGAAACTCCCAAAGATGTGTTAAGTGCTCTCCTGAAATAGCAAAGCACTGTGCTTTCCATGTGTCTGTATAAAGCTTTGGATTCTGGAATTGATAAGTAAATTAACAGACTAAACCAGAGTGATATAAAATACTGCAGATGACACTTGTACATGGGCAGTATGACAGACCTGCTGACTTTACTTTTCATCTCAAACTCTAGTGACTCTTAATAGTATGTTGTAAATTACATATTAAGCTAAGAAGACAAGTAATACCTAATTTAAGTGTTTTTCTATTTTAGGAGCATTTGAAGATGATGATATCACTCATGTTGAAGGAAGTGTAGATCCTGTTCGTGACATTGAAATCATACATGAGGAACTTAGACTTAAAGATGAGGAGCTGATCATGCAGAGTATAGACAAGCTCGAAAAAGTAGCTGTAAGAGGAGGAGACAAGAAATTAAAACCCGAATACGTAAGTATACGTGTATGATCTATGAGAGTAGGTCATTAATACTCTATGTATTAAATTGAAATTTTTGTGTTGTTGGGTTTTGCTACTGATCTCCCACATGTATAATACAAAACAATACTACTAGTTTTATTTAAAATTATTAACTGAAGAATTATTAGAATGAATTACTTGTTGTGTTGACAGTGTAAGATTTCACTGATAAAGCTAATTGTAATTTTTTTAATTTAACTGTTATTTTTTTGCTTTATATGAGAGCTACCAGTGCTTTGTCAAATTTAGATCGGTGTTTAGTTGTAATTTGAAATCCAGCAGTCACTTCTGAATTACTGTTGCTGTTAAGTTCTAGTCTAATGTTGATACTAGTATTCCTGTAGCCAGCAAGTGAATATATTTTCTTGGTGTGGTTGCACTTTGTGGCTTTTAGTGCATGTTAAATAAAGACTCCTAGTTGAAAATAATTTTAGAATGTTGTGGAAAGCTGCTTAAATGAGCTCCATTATCACAGGGTAGTAGTGGTGTTTCTTTGTAAATTAAAAATGTGTAATAGTTACCAATTTCAGAGTATATTTTTGTAAATGGTTATTTTGCTGCCACTTGACTCTTCAGTCTGCAACACTTTGCCAGTAGTCTAGTTATTAATTTTTCTTTAATCTTCTATAAATATTTCAGGTGGTATCTAAAGTGTGTTCTCTAATTATTACAGCAGTGTATCAGTGTGGAAATAGATGATGCTGAGTAACAAGTAATAAAAAATGCTGTTTGCTCCTATGGCTTTTTAGGTAGCAAGTAGTAAGAAAAGCATTGTCCTGTCAGTGCTGGTGTTTATCAGCACTGAAGTGCAGTGACATTCGTTGGCCCTACCTAGTGTTTGAAAGTGAATAGGAGCTGAAAATGAACATCCCTTTTCAAAATGTTCTGGGTATGTGTGGGCAGCGATTTTTATCTTCTGCAAAAGGTTGCACCTGCTTGGAGGAACAGCACAGCTTGTGCCGACGGTTTCAAATAGCACCCACACAGTCTTTCACCTTTTAATTCATCTCCAAGGGGCAAGAAAAAAATCCTGTCTGTAGCAAATTTGGAGTTCACCCTAAGGCTAAATTTTAGATTGGTATGAGATGATGAAAATGTGGAGTGTAGTGATGCTGTTCTGCCTAGCCTTGCCTGCTTTCTTGTGTGGCTGTCTTTGGAAACAGCTTTGCTCGGCTCCTCATGGGTGGAAAGAAGCCTTTGAGTGTCCATCTCTGCATGCTTTGGGGGTTTTGGATCATACTCTGTTCTTCCTGTGCTAAGGAAGAAGTCAGCACTTTCTGTGATTGCAGAGACATAACTGAAGTGAGTTTTCAGTAAAATTCGTAATAGTCGTCATGTGACTGTAGTGAGTGGTAGGTACAGTTACTGTTGTATGACAGAGCTGCTCTTACTCATTTTATAACTACAAGAAGTTGCTGTGTGTTTGAAAACAGAAAATGTCACATTGTTTTCAAATCAAGGGAGAGGCAGTAAATAAATTCCTCAAGTCTAGAAATGCAATTTGAATTAATTAAACAAAGCTTCAAAATCTGCATTATTAATCTTCTACTCAGATTCGGTTTCTCATCCTTCTCTTTGCCTCTTCCTTCAGTCTCTTAGCTTTTACTTCATCTGTAGTTCACCTGCCAAAATGGCTTTGTCATCTCCTGTTTGTAAGGTACACTTCTCATCATTCCTTGGGTTTTTTATTCTTTGTTTATGAACACAAGTACGAAAAACACCACGTTTTTGAAGTCATGTTGCTCTGGCAGTTCTGTTCTCACTAACAGCTGTTACACTTGACCAGTCTCAGCTGAGTTTGTCAACAACAATAGAAGTTTCAAAGGCATTAAATTCCTTTGTTTCATGGAAAGGGGTGGCTGAACAGAGGGGAGAGGCACAAATTAATGCTCCCCTTGAGACAAAGGCTGCACGTAGGAACTACAGTCACTAGGGAATCTCTTCAGGGAAGTACTATGGGGCATTGCATCTGTGGGTCCTGCTGATCTTGGACCTTCTTGCTTGTCTTTCTTTGTGACTGGTATGCTTGAATTATAAGGTAAACAGTAGACCTAAGTAAAGTGGACTTTTTGTAATGGTAAATGCCTGTGAAGCTCTCCCTGGTTACTTTACCTGGTAGATCGGTCCTAAGGCCGAGTGACACAGCTTCTACAAATAGATTTGTGGAGTCTATGATTGTAATGGCATTTCCTGGGCTTTTCCAGCCCCTAGCTGGGTTTATTTAGATGTTGAGCCCCTGGGCTGTGAGGCACTCCTGTACAGTTTGCTTTGCCTCTTCTCCTTTAATGTTGCAGAGAAGGCCTATGGTTGCGTTTATATAGTACTGTGTGATTAACTATGTGGTAAATGACTTAATGGGTTGAGGACAGAAACCATACAGGATTGGCAAAAAAAAAAAAAGTGAGGAATATGCATCCCTAAAGGAGTAACCAAATGTTAGGAGCGTATTTTGGCTGTTTGATCGTTCTGCACTTCCCAAATATGTTACATTGTGCAGTTAACTCGTTGGGCACAGAGGGAGTTCCTTGTCCAGCACAATTTGTGATGTTGTTTCCATGCGGTTTGTGGCTACTGTTTGAGGCTGCTTCTTTCCAGGGCAGAAAGGTCATTGAGATAGTGTAGGCTCAAATTAATACTCTCTCAAACAGATTGTCTTAAAAAAAAAAAGAGAAGAAAAAAAAAAAAGGGAGGGGCACAGGGCTGGGAGAGAACTCGTCAGGATTTGTCTTTTTAGGTTATTTACCTGTATAATACATAGCCATTGGTAATGTTCTGTTCTTTCTGAGCAGTGCTGTGCAGCAAGCAGCTCTTGTGCATGATCTGAGTGTTCCCAGTCACTTTCCCTTTCAGAAAAACTAGGAGGTTACAAGGGAAAAAACTTGATATTTGCAGGTTGTTTTGGTTTTGTTTGTTTTTTCAAGTAGAATGTTGAAATTTTAGTGTCTTATTCATTGTTCTCCTGTCCTTCTGGGAGCAAATTATGGTAAAGACACTTGAGAATTTCTTAAGTGTTTTAACAGGTTGAGTGTTGTGGAAGTTTCTGTGGTTCATTCAGAAAAGATATTGCAAACTTTCCTACCTGTGTCACTTTCAGACCATTCACTGGCTTGCTTTTCCCTACCAAACAAAAACATGTAGCACTTGAATTGTGTTTTTTGTTTCTTTTCACTTTTTTTGAGAGCACTTTGAGATCTGCTGAGGAAAACCGCTATATAAGGTGAGGAAAGAAAAATAATACTCATTTTAGTCAAGTATGTTTCTCCATTGGTAGTTTGCTGACTATAACAAATAGCCTTAATATGAAAGTTAAGGAAAAGTCAGTGATTTTAGGGAGGCTATAGTCTGGGTGACCTGTGCAAACTTAGTGCTGGCATCAAAGGGGGTTTCACTGTGCTTCATGGAGCCTAATTGAAAGTTGAAATCATTCTTCTCATTTCATAAATATGAATGTCGAGGATTCTCTTTGTCACTAAGCCTCCACAACTGTAACTTGGTGCTCTGAAATTTCCAAAAGGTTTAGGATGAGAAAAAAAGAAAATAGTCAGCCTGTGTTAGTCAACAGTTCTGTAATCTGAGGTTTGTGTTTGGTTGCCCACCTTCTTGCACTTGTGCTCTAACTTGTTCATTGTCATTTTTCCTTGGTCTAAGCCAACGTTGCACACAGTTGGTAAGTTCACCTTTGTACAGTGGCCTGGCTTTGCAGTTGAATACAGTGTTAACTTCATGCTGTCTCTTGGAGAATTGATTTCTCAGTCCCTGTCACCAGAAATAAAACAGCCAACTGCTGTTAAGGAGCCACCAATGAAATAATTTTTAAGTTCTACTTAAAAATCAGTGACACAATACGGTCCAAGATCAGCAACACGTAATGTTGACATAGTCTTGGAATAGGTTCCTTTACACGTATATTTTTGTCTGTTTTTCAAGTGTTCACGTTGGTTTCTTAGAAATGACTGTCTGTTTTTACTAAGGGTACTATTCTTTCAGGCTCTGTATATCTTTAAATATTATTTTGGCTATAACCTTTTAAAGAGAGATTATAGAACAAACCCACCCCTGCTATTTGCATGTATTAAACCAGTGCGAATATAATTTCAGAAAGCAATCAGAGTAATTTTGATTTATATTTTAAATTTGTCTGGTGCTGGCATCTGCAGAAAAATGGAAAAGATACTGAGTTAAACTTTATTATTAGCTTATTATGCATCTGTCATTTTGGGTAGCAGGCGGTTTCAAAGTAGAATTCAAGTACATATGAATTTATAGATCAGAATGTACACATTTTAAAACTTGTTTTAAAAAGATATACTGCTTAAATTTATGGGATTTTCGGTCCTAGAGACAGCAGTCTTCAAGTTCATACAGTATAATACAGTTAAGTGAACATTACTGCAGGATTCTCTTCCCACGTGATTCAATTCTAGTCCTTAGAGATTGACCCTCTGCAGTAGAGAGCTATGTCTTCAGCCCTTTGTTAGTGTGCCGAATCTCGAATTCCAGCACAGAATAGTTCTTAGTGGTAATGGCATTGTGGTTTATATATCTGACCACAAGAATATTGGTTATAGTTGAGTTCACACAGATTATTGATGTTATGATAAGAAGACAAAATCTTTAGGCCAGTATCAATGTCTGCAGTGTTTGGGATTTCAATTTCCAGTTGAAAAGTGGCTTTTACAGTACGTCAGCATCAGTGTTCCCTGCATTTGAACTTCCAGTTTTCAGTTGAAAGAGGTGCTTTTACAACTCCTGTGAGCTGCCTAAATTCCGCTGTTAAAATCTGTCAGTTTTAGAGTAAGGTTAGTTTTTCAAATCAAGCACACTTACTAAGAGTGAAAGTAATTGCAATTATGAAAAGAACAGTTAGAGACGACTACTTAATGCAGTGGTACTAGAACCATGCTGTACTTATTTAATTTACAAGAAAGGCATCGAGTTTGTTTTGTTACTGCAGTGGGCGATAAACTAAG